CACACACACACACACACACACACACACTTACACACACTTACACACACGCAGACACATTAACACACAACTACACACCATGTCTATCCCCAAAGTCACACAGATCTAGTAGGTAACAATTATAATATTTCTACAAAAGAGAATTCCTTGTGCCGCCAGGTCTGGCCACACCGCCACAGAGCGAGAAGCAAATCCGGGGATCTATTCCTAGATATCGAAGAGAGACACGAAGTGAGTACAGGACCTTTCTACGTTATCTCGTTATCTCTCTTAGTATCGTATGATCAAAATTAAGTAGAAATAGAGGTCGGATTAATAAAGACTGGACACCCGAAACTATTTTTATAAGTCATTATTATTCCTTCAATATGAGTGAATGGTTTTATTGTCGTTGGGTTGTTTGTTTTTTAGTCGGTAAGATTATGCACAAATGTGTGTTAGTGACAATGTTAGAATGTATGCTTATAATATATATGTGTATTTGTAAATGTGTCTGTGCGCGTGTGTTTGTCGAAAGTTATATTGTCAGTTCATTATGAGGTTTTTTTGTGTGTGTGAGATTATGCACAAGTGATAATAATAATAATATATTATGAATATTAGTAACGTATGTTCACTTATTTATGAATGTGCATTTGGATATGTGTGTGTTTGCTATTGTTTTGTGTGTGTGTGTGTGTGTGTGTGTGTGTGTGTGTGTGTGTGTGTGTGTGTGCACGCACGTGTGTTTATGTGCGTGTGTGTATGCTAGTCAAAATCTGTATAACAATAATATAGACGACGTGGGTTTCTGACCTGTCAGCGAGAAGAAAATGGCTGAGGGTAAGCCTATGAATTTGTCAGTACGAGATAGATCAGTCGCACTGCGCCTCGCAATTTGAGATTGTTTTTCTCTAGACAGATTGCCTCTGTATCATCTATCTTGTCACGGGAAGTGTTGTGCTACTTTTCCTTGTGTCAATATAATTTGTGGGTCATCGCAGTGAAATCAGACGCTCGTCTAATTTTAGGGAACAGAGAAATCAGTACTTTTTTCCGACTGTTGAGCAATTATTATCAAAAATGTATTTTTTGCACAGAAAACTTCTCAACCCATGAAAGAACAAGTTTTATGGTGAAAGTTATTGAAGAAAAATCTTGTTTGAAAACCAAAAATAAGTTATTCAGTTGAAGGAATACGAGTAATCACCTTCAGAAGTCACAAAACTTTCTCGGCTATCTCGCTCATTTCATCTGTAAAAGCCGGTAACCTTGCTTCTTAATCTCTCGTTGATTTCAGCTGTAGCACCAAGGAACCCGCCTTCTTAAACCACACACATATCTCCACTTCTATGCAAGATAGGTCAACGTTTAAAAAAAAATTGTGTGTGTGTGGGGGGGGGGGGGGGGGGGTCACCTTCTTCTTCTTCTTCCTCGTTCTCGATGACAGCAGCTAGACAGTCAGTCCGATGTCACGCACGAACTGTGCTGCTATGGAGCTTTCTCTCAAGGGGAGTCACATTCTGCCACGTCTGTGTACGAAGGGTGGCGTAGCGCGGGCAGTGCTGAAGGATATGGTTGACCTCCTCTTGGTCGTGTCCACATTCACAGATCACTGACTCTCCCACTTTTCATTTGATGTGCTTATGGGGGGGGGGGGGGGTGTCACCAAGTTCAAGAAAAATAAAGCTGTAGTTTGATAATACAACCCCATAATATTATTGTTATTCTGCGTCAAAACTCTAAACTGACGAGCGCCTGATTCCACAAGGCTGCGACACATATTATTTGTTTCCCTCTTTTTCTCTGTTTTGCTCAATAACCAAGCTGGAGACATGGCCGACGTGAACTGATTCCACAAGGCTGCGACACATATTATTTGTTTCCCTCTTTTTCTCTATTTTGCTCAATAACCAAGCTGGAGACATGGCCGACGTGAACTGATTCCACAAGGCTGCGACACATATTATTTGTTTCCCTCTTTTTCTCTATTTTGCTCAATAACCAAGCTGGAGACATGGCCGACGTGAACTGATTCCACAAGGCTGCGACACATATTATTTGTTTCCCTCTTTTTCTCTATTTTGCTCAATAACCAAGCTGGAGACATGGCCGACGTGAAAACACAACTACAACAATATAAAGATGACAGCGATACTATAACTGTGGCAGCTGTGGTTGCTGTGATTGGGCTTGTCGTGTTTTGCTTCAGTACAGTGGCTCTGTTCCTCTGGCTTAGGAAAGGTAAGAGACTGTCAGTGACAGGAAAGATAAAATAAGAGAGGGGGTGAGAATAGCGAGACATAGGTTATGAGAATAACTACTTCCTTACTTCTAACCCTATCCGTACGTCGTGTTTTACCATCGTATCCATACGGCGTGGGGAACTCTGTGCCACCACTTTCAATAAGAGGAGATTAATTTACTCCTTACTCCGATCCATACGTTTGCATAGCCGTCTATCAAAATGATTTTTTGAAAAAATACTGAAAATTTCAAAGAGATCTTCGCACAAGAAGTACATTTCTAAAACGAGAAGAATACAACCCCGGGGGAACAAAATGCCTCCCAGGGCGTACGGATAGGGTTAAAGTACTACGGAACATGCTCTAATGGCCACTTGTATAATACAATCACCAGCTCAAACGGCCACTTCTCATTTACACCCCCCCCCCCTTTGTGTGTTTTAAAAAATCTTTATAATCTCAAGGTGTAAGACGTCCACCCGGGGCCGCCTAAGACGGTAACTTTTTCTCCTCGACAATGAGTGGTCGTCTTAGACAATTTCGACTGTCACTTATTTTCTGCCCTTCATGTCTTGAAAAAGTTCGAAGCTTCTTTATTCATTTCTAGATTTTTGTAGTGTAATAAAAACTGTTTTTTTCGGTAAGTGTTTTACGGCGCTCGCAACTGCAAAAGGTCATATGAGCGGGTGGGACACATTAAACATTTTCAGTTGGTAGGAAATTTTTTAATTTTGCCCGAGTGGCGGCCGAAGCCTACTCTTATCGATTTTGGACCACCAAGGGATCTTTAACGAGTGGAACTTGCACTCGAGACCACCGAGATTTTTTGCCGTTATCGGAGAAGGCTAGGTGCAGATCTTCCCTACCGTAAGATCAGGAGTCTGGATTCGAACCCGGGACCTATTGAATGAGAGTTGAACACCTTAACCTCTAGACCACAAGAGCCCCCAAAGAACCTTTTGGTCTTGTTATAAATACATTACCACGCCTATATATTGCATAACTAGCCTGTCTTTTAGGTTTGCGGGTCATACATTTTGTCACTTTGGAGATTGTTGTATAGAATGAAAAGGTACTACTTGTCGAAATGGAATGAGTTAAGATTAATTTTTTATGTTTTCCTTCGTCTTTTTTGGAAAGAGTTTCCTTTTAATACTTTTTAAAAAAAGATTGTATGTTTTAAAAGCTGTTTTAGTAAAACTCAAAGTATTTTTTTTTTAGCCCTCTAAAGTGACTTATAAAGGAATCTTGAGGACGCTTAGAGGAAAATAAAAGACCTGATAATCCGTCTGCAGAAATATCGTTGAAGAAATCAGAGACACGTTCAATGCTCTCAAGAATGCGATAAAATGTATTTCCTATATTTATACATATACAAATAGCATGACGTAAATTTCTGTCCTTTCTCATTGTATTCTATAAACCACGTATTATTTTCTTTTCTGCCACAGAACGGCTCCGGACAAAAATGTATCAGTCCAAGTAAGTTTTCAGAAGCCAAAATACGACTCCTAACAATAATTATACCATAATATGTTAACTGTTTCTAGAAAAGATACATGAAGGCTTGTCTGACAAAATTCCCATTTATTGCATCATCTTAAGACCATTTTTTAAATGTCTTCCTTAACTTTTGACATACGGCGCACCAGTCCAGCTGCCTCATAACATCGCTCGGTTGTTTGAAGTCATAACAAACATCTACAAAACCCCAGGATATCCATGTTATCTATGGGGGTAGTTCAATATGTATTCACCCTGACTATGACAGAATTGTGGTTAATCGATGAAACTCTTAAAATGGGATTTCTATCTTGCTGAAACACTATGTGTGCAGTTTTGAAAATTCCAATGAGCGGTTTGAATTTGAGAGCTCTGTTAATGTTCAAGGTAGTTCTTGAACGAGGGATAAACTGTGGAAAAGACAAAAAAATATCCAGCTGAACGACAATGCTTCAGTGTACAGAGCGATGAGGCAAATCGGACAGCAAAGTACATAAATAAGGACTACAAAGTTCACTCCTACCCACCCTATCCACCCTTGACATTTTAACTTTTCCTAAATCTGATGAAACATTCTCAAAGGACAACGTTTCCATAGTGATGAAGATGCTTAATATGCAGTGGAGAAATTATGGTTTGAGTCCCATCCGAAGTCGTTGAATGTTCAGGGATTTTTGAAGGTTAAAAAAAAAAAAAAAAAGGGCAAAACTTTCAATTTAGCGGATTGACTGCGTGGAGAAGATACATTGTGCGCATCAAATTTCAATGTTCTAGCTTGCGTCTTTCATCAAGATGAAGACTTATTGAACACCCGTCATACAATCAAACTTCATGTTTTTTTGCAGCATGGGTCATTCATTTCTATTCTGTTTGATATCAGTTTTATGCTAATATGTTTAAGTTTAATAGAAGGAGACTTTTTTAGTTGTAGGAGGAAGTTTGTGAGGTGAAGAAGTTGGTGGCAAAACTGGAAGTGAACAAAAGTGAAATAGCCTTTCGTATTGAGAGTTATCTCCCTGTTGGAAACAAACGCTACCTCAGAGTTACAAATTTCTGTCTGCCCAGTACATGTTCCTAGTTTTTAGATATTTGACGTAAAAAAAAAATTAAAAATTTGAATTTCTAATAATGTCAAGCTTTTTCATATGCAATTCTTAGAATATCTTGATAATGACTAATTTTAAAAAAATCTTACGATTTTGATAGAGCAGATAGAACATAGATTTTCTAATTTGATTTCTGACATCATGGTCTTAGTAACTAAAAGCATCCAAAAATGTGAGATAAAACTTTGTAATTCCGAGGTAGCGAAAAGGCCGTTCCAAAAGTAGATGTCATACGCATGCCCTCACACGATATTAGACGCAGAAGATATTCTAGAGCTGTGGTTTTCAAAGTGGGCGCTACCGCCCCCAAGGGGGCGGTGTCGAGAGTTTGGGGGGCGCTGTGACGAAATTGGGCAATTGGGGGGCGCTGGCGGGCGCTAAGAGGGCGGTGTGAGAGCCACATTAAAAATAATAAAAATTGATAGCTTAGGCATAGTTTACAATACTACTTATAGCTAAGAGCTTTCTTTCCCAGCCCACAAATCCCGTATAAAGCAGATTCATCACGACAAATCTGACAAAGATCTGGCATACTTCAACACTCTTAAGATCAATTTTCAGAAATGAAAATCAGTTAAACCGATGTTTGCAGCCCACGTCGATCAAGCTGATGAAGACTTACGAGCAACATATAGTTTATCTCAGCTGATTACAAACACCATGTTATTGGTGAGGACCTCATATTGCCTGCCATAAGAGAGGTGGTCAGCACAGTCCTGCAATGTGCCCCGGAGCCTGTGTTGAAAGTTTTCCCACTAAGCGACAATACCATTCAAAAACGTATTGATGAAATGTCAGCAAATGTTGAGGAATCACAGTGCAAAATGCTGAAAGGACGTGAGCTCAGCCTTTAACTGGATATCAGTTCATAGAGGATGAGGAAATAATGCAAGAATTGTTATTTGCTAAAATGTTGGAAACAGATACCAAAGGCGAGTCCATTTTCAAAGTGGTCCAAGAATTTTTCGACGAGAAACAGATCCCTCTGACCAATACAGTTGCCTGTGCAACAGATGGGGCTCCGTCGATTGCAGGTCGGAAACGTGGATTTTTGAACTTCTTGAAGAAATCAGTCCATGGAGTATTTACTGTTTACTGACAGAATTTGGTGGCAAAAAACCTGAATGAAAGTCTGCGTGACACACTGGCCATTGTCATCAAGTGTGTGAACAAGATCAAAGTCCACGCTTTGAACTCGAGACTATTTCAACAGCTGCGCACTGAAAATGACGAGTACTTTCAATGCTTGTGACTCTGTGCTGGAGGTTTTTTTTTCTCAAGAAAACAGACAGTGATCTCTGCAATAAACTGAAAAAACACAATAACAACACTGCGCTCCTCACAGATCTTTTCACAAAGTTCAACCAGTTCAACTTTCAGTTGCAGGGGGATGACACCAACCTGATCAAGGCTTTCATTATTCTGGTCGAAATTGGAAATGATCTGCCGAAACATTGGCAGAAGAAAATTTCTCAGTTTCCTAGCTTGACGAAGACACGGAAAGAAGGGCGCGTTTCTGACGAGGAACTACAAATATATATAGAGCAACCACCTCAGAGATTTGCATGCTGATATGAAGACAAGGTTTAGCCTCCTGATTTTTTTTGACTGGAAATTTCATACTGGATACTGGACCCATTGAACACTGAAACATGATAACTTGCAAGTAGCAATTGAAGAAGAGCTTCTGACGATAAAATGTGACTTTGAAATCAAACCATTGCTCAAAAAGCCGTACCAGTCATTCTGGTTGAAAACTGTTGTGCAAGACAAATATCCCTCCAAGTGGGAAAAGATCAAGTTGTTGTTCACCTCTTTTCCCGCCTCCTATCTAGAGGAGAGGGGATTCAGTGCA